TGCTATGAAAAGATAAAAAACGCTGCTAAGACTATCAAAATGTTGATCTAATATCAATTTGACATTTATACTATTACGTCAAAAGCAACTTTTTTCCAAAGCCTACCATGACTTCACTGAATCATCGTTTCTTGTCCACTGTTATTAATATCTTAATTATTAGATATTAATACCTCTGGTATTATGGTATTCTGGTATTTCGTCGATTTTAAAATAAACTAACTCTTTCTAACCAAACCAAACCAAACTAACTGTTTCTATCTTATTTTTTGTTAGAACTTTTTAAGCTTTTTCTACTCTATCCGATCAGCTAAAATTACATATACTATTGCATTTAATTTGTTTGCGCAATGTTTGTTAAATTGTAAGACAACGCCCCCTAGCGTCTACGTTCAAAAGCTTATTATTATTGTTTATATGGTATAATATAGAGTAAGAAACGCTCTTTTAAACGAGTCTCCGTTTGTTGGATTCCGATCATCCAGTCCAGAGTTATTAATCTTTAAATAAAAACAGATCTAACCTTCCCCCACCACTTTACTTTGGTAGATAGGGGAAAATGGCTCTAACAAAAAATATTCAAAATTTACTGAAAATTAAGAAGCTATTACTTACAGTACACCTTATCTAGGCAAAATTGTGTAAAAACTCAATTTTCTTATTTTTTGTTGCAGTTGCGCCCCCTAGCGATAGTTCTACAAACTTGAAAATAATTTCCAGCAATTTCTTATAGCCTCTTTAGTCATAAATATTTTTTTCCGGAGCCCCTGCGGCTAATACTTTCCGAGATACAGCCGAGAGCTATTCTTAGTGGGACACCCTGTACTTGTGAAACACTGATGACACACATCACAAGTACATGCGAGAGGTAGCCGACGCTCTATATAGAGTATGGCACTGTAAGAAGAATTATTAAGCTTTCTCTATTTTTTTTTTAATTATAAAAATAAAATAACACGGTTATTTTGGAGTTATTTGAAAAACGACAAAGAGAAAATATGTTTGTTTTATCGAGATCTACCAGCCCTGAAAATATTTGCACTTATTTAGGACTCACACAGTATATTTGGGATAACTAAAAACTTATTTAGGAAAACAGAAAAAATATATCATTTTATTTCATACAAAGCAAATTATTTAAACCGAAAATATCTCTAAAACCCTGTAGTGTATAAGCGAAGGAAATAAATACACCAAAACTTTAGATCTTCCTTTATTCATGACATTCGATTATTGCACTACGGCAGTCGGAGCCGCAGCCTATTTCGTAACCTACATATATAACGTCATTAGAGAAACTCCATGTTTATATAATTCAGTTACTAAATAGAGGTTATATTAAACGATAATATGCTTTAAGAGTCTATTAACGCAATCCACTTTGAAAATATATAACAATTTATATTAAAAAAAGTAATCTGATGATAGTGATTTGAAAACCAAAACCTGTCCAAAGAAAGTATATATGACAGTCACAATAATCTGGCAGCTAAATTAAATTTTCTGTCATTTTTTTGGATATCGTCTGTTGGAATCTTCCCTGACTCGATGGACAGACTTAATCTCTCTCTTTAATAATTGGACTGGGTATCCTCCAACGGTCTAAGACACTCGAAGACATTCCTCAAGATTTACAGCAAGAACAAACTTTAGATTGTTATGGGGTGTTTAACAGGACTCTGTCTCCTCAATGAACACCTCAATGGATTGAAGCTAAGAAACAATGGCGAATGCAGATTCTGTAGTGAAAATGGGGAAACACCAGAGCACCTCTTCACTGAGTCCGCCGAGACGACCACCATTCGGCCTATAAACTTTGGTACTATTGATATCGGAGATGGAAAATTAATCTCTGTAAAACCTTTTCAGATACTGGCTTTTGTTAAAATCCTGAGACTGAATGATGAGTTATAATTCAAGAAAGGGGGACAAGAGAGATCTCCAAGGATACTATAGAAATAAGAATAGTTCGATTCCTATCTTCCTGCACTGTCAGTTTTTTTACGTCATCTACTGACCGAGTTGAAGTTGAGCTAAAGATTTTAGACAGTGACAGTTATTTTTGCATTTGACGGACGAGCGCACAGTGCGATGGAAGATAAATTTAGCGGTACAAAAGCGTTTGGTTAGAAATAAGCCAAAAAATGTGTACTGATAAGAATAAATAGTAGACATTCCAATTGATACCAAAATGCATGAATATTCTTTGTATTTCGATACATTTTTATCAACCAAATTTGGTCGTTTTCTGCTCAGCAAGGCAGAGATCGTACGAAAACAAAATATTTACAAGTGCTTATACATTTTATTAGAAAGCCAAATTATGTTGAAGATTGCCAAAGGTATGTACTTTTCTACTGTACGTATATTATTTGTTAAAATCCTTCGTGCCTTTGTTCTGCAGATATCAAACTTTCACTTTTTTTCAAATATCGATATATTGAATGATGTAGATCTTTTGAGTTACCAATAGTTATCAACACAGGTAGCACAGTCACAGGGAGTTCAAGCTTAAGAGGTGAATGCCCAAAAAGATTCATTTCAATCGGATAGTATAAAAACAAAACAATTCCATCAAAAGGCACTGAGTTTAAAAAATTGTCTCAGATACTTACTATACATGAATTTTGCAATTACCGAGTGTTAAAATTAAAATTAAAATATCTATCTTATTTATTATTTTCAAAATAAAATATATTTTTTTTAAATAAATTATAGAGGGTGTCACAAGATTACAAATTAATTAAAAAAAAACTGCTAAAGAGTTTTTTCATATCATAATTTTATGTATTTGGCAATAGTTTACAATACGGTTTTTGTGTATCATGTACGAATAATATCATAGTTTTATTATCTTGTATTTATTTATTAATAAATTAAGTTGTTAATAAATAAATAAATTTAACCATATAGTTACTATATATTAGACCATTTGCTACGTTCTTAGATTTTAAGTCCCAAACATTGCTCTTGAGATTTTGTCCCGCTAGAATAACCATCCGCCGCACTGTGGAGCGCTGGTCAGCGCGTGACGTAGCATTCCACGGCGACTACGACAGCGGCGATTTGACGCGATCCAACAGTCCTTTAGAATATATACAGTCCTTGAGAGATCTCTAAGTTTGTTTTGATTAACTTTCCCCCTCCCATACAATCTACAGGGTTGTCCACCACATACGACACGGAGTATTGTAGCTAAACGATTAGATTTTTACAAATTGTAAGTTTTAGGTTCGTTGAAGGACTATTAAAGCTACAATTTAAAAATATTTTTACAACATACAGAGTCTCCCAAATAAATAAAAAATATCAAAGTTTTATTTTGTTAAATGGAACACCCTGTAATTTATTAGATTTTTAGTTTCTATGATTAAAATAAAGGTAAATTTGAAAAGGTTTATTACACTTAAACCTCACCGTTCTTGAAATATTTTCTATTTTTTTTTTTTGAATTTTGTGAAGTTGCAGTTTTTTGCAACATTTTAAGGCTTCATTTCTCCAAGAGTATCAAAGTATAGAACATTCTGTATATTTTAAAAGAATCAGGTGCATCTATCAAATTGTATTATATTATTTTTAACCTAAAATATAGTAATTATTTAAAATAATTTTTAGACACTCTGTATCTCTCTCTGTCTTTATTCCAACAAAAGGAATGTAGTGGTCAGGTGATGTGTGAGGTTTGTCTCCATAATTCCCTGTCTTGTGCTTCATGTACAAGCGTGTGCAGTGGCTTGTGGGTGATTTTTGATAGCTGGTCTATCCATCGGGAGGGCGAGCGGCCTCTTGATCTTCTTCCCGGAACCTTGCCCTGTATAATGAGTTTTTCCATACAGTCAGTATCCCTCCTCATAACGTGACCGAAATATTTAAGTATACGTGACTATATAGAAGTTGAGAGACGTTCTGTGATGTTCAGTTCTTGGATTATGGATTCATTGGTTCGCCGGGCAGTCCAGGGAATTCTGAGCATTCGTCGCCAATAGTACATCTCAGTTGCGTCAATTTTTTTCATTTCTGACTGTCTCATCGTCCAGGACTCAGAGCCATACATTAATATAGGAAATATATAAGTGTTTAGATATGTTTTTGTCTCGCCATATCTTTGAGAGTTTTCGCACTGCCACTCTTGTCATTTCACATCTTCTTCTTATTTCCCCTTCTAACGATCCCGTGTTGTTTATAAGTGACCCAAGATATATATATATATATTGACTTACAACCTCAAAACGACCAATGCTCACTACATCAGGTTTGTTGTTGTTTTGCCTGTCGATAATCATAATTTTTGTTTTAGAGGGATTAATTTCAAGTCCAAGTTTCTCGCTTTCGTCTTCAACCAATTTTAGAAGCTGCAGTAACTCTTCCTCGTTTCCCGGTAGAAGGACCGTATAGTCTGCAAATCTGAGGTTGGTAATTTCGTGACCATTAATTGTTATCCCCCTTGCCAATGTTCCAATGCCCTTCTCATGATATATTCAGTATATATATTGAATAACTGAGGAAATAGTATGCACCCCTGCCTAACACCACAGGTAGGCTGGAAGTCTTCCGAAGTAACGCCATTGATGGTTATTCTACTTTTGGTATTTACATAGAGATTCTGGATCAATGAAATCAAATGAAGAGGCACGCCCATTTCTTTAAGAACCATCCATAGTTTTGACCATTTGACTTTGTCAAAAGCTTTTCGATAGTCTATGAAAGAAATATAGAGCGGATTGTTAAATTCTCGGGCCTTTTCGATAATCTGACGGACATTCAAAATTTGTTCACGTGTTCCTCGACCTCTTGTGAATCCTGCTTGCTCTGGAGGGATCTGTGGTTGAATATACGGTTTAAACCTTTCGTTAATGATATGAAGACACTCTGTATAAGGTAGTATAATTTTTATTATTGCAACACAGAATTTAGTAAATAGAAATACTGCAATACAATATTTGGTTGCTTTAATACAGTTTTCTTACATAATTTGACTGAATTTACGAATTCCGACTTACCCTCACTAAATCCGTTAACAAGCTTAGACGAAACGACCAATCCAATTTGATGTCATCTTGCTGCAAAACGTCCTGCAATGACCCTCTGGCACAATATTCCGACACCAGCGCTGCTCTAGGCGATTCTGCCAAAACACCTGTGCATATAAAAAACACGTTAAATATTAAAACACGAACATAAATAAAACAAAAACGATCAAAATTCATTTAGATCATAAAATATATTCACAGAGTTATTCCGTTTCATATCGGGGTCCAATTTAATATTTCAATATTGCGTTTTTGCTTATTTCATTTTCACGTTTAATTAAATTTGGTAACGATTCGATGCAAGTTTAAAATGTAACGGATGAATAATTAAATTTCCGCAGAGCGTTGTTAAATATTAAAACTATATAAAAAATGTAGTCTAATTGATTAAAAAACATAGTGTAAATTTGATCTGCAAATTGTTATTTTTATACATTTTTTTGTAATTGCTCAATTTATCCACAATACAGCAAAAAATAAATAAAATATTAAAGACTGTTAAGCGATTGCTCAACGTTACGTCATCATTTGTCAAATATACGTTTTAGAGTGTAGCAGAGATCAGATCCTATAATTTTTCATTTTTATTTTTCCAGATAATTGAAAGAGAGTTGGTATGCTACATGACATAAATTAGGATTGATTGACGTATTTAATTATTGCTTTTGGTCACTTCCTGTTTTTCCGGAAATGGTAACAGCTACTGATTTTTAAATAGCACTATCAGTATTTCTACTTTATTCGATAGAAAATGACACTCTGAATATAATAACATATCATTAGTCAACTTTTGACAATTTATTATTAAAAATTGTATTTTAAATCTCAATCTAGAGTGTCCTGGCTGTGTTAAAAACACTCATTTTTAATCAAGGAGCCTTGGAAAATCTATATGATCGTCGTCTAATGTTTTTCGTGCCTTGTCCTGGCCGGTTAAACGATGACCAAATCGTATTTTTAATCATATATTATTTTTTTTCAAATGGAACAAGGGTGGCTCTTGGATAAAGCATTTTTTTGAGAATAATATCTTACCACACACTTAGTATTTCGAGTCAAATTGTCTTTATGAACCGCATATTATAATTTCAAATAAACCATATGCGGAAAAGTTGACAAATGATATGTCATTCTATTCTATAGAAATATACCGAGTGTGCCATTTAAAAATCAAAAGTTGTAGTCATTTACGGTGAAACAGGAAGTGACTTAAAACAATTGAATACGTCAATCAATCCTAATTTATATCATATACCGGGTGAATATCAAAAGTGGCTCACCCCTATAACTTTTTTATTTTTTCAGATAAAAAAACGAGATTTGGTATGTTAATATATGACATAAATTAGGATTGATTGACGTTTTCAATTGTTTTCTGTCACTTCCTGTTTCATCGGAAATGACTACAACCTTTTATTTTTAAATGGCACCCTCGGTGTTTTGTTGCTTTATTCGATAGAAAATGACACTCTTTGACATTTTAGAATATGGTTTATTTGAAATTCCAACATGCGATTCATTACAATTTGACTTAAAATACCAAGATTGTGGTACCAAATTATTCGTAAAAAATGCCTTTTCCAAATATGCTAACGAGCCACCATCGTTCCATTTGCAACAAATTGAGATATGATTAAACACATGATTTGGGAATTTTTTAACCAGCCAGGACAAGACACAATAACATTAGACAATCAAAGTTATTTTTCCAAGGCTCCTTGAGTAAAAATTAGTGTTTTTAACACAGTCATGGCACTCTAGATTGAAATTTAAAATTCAATTTTGTTTTAAACAAAAATGTCAAAAGTTGACATATGATACGTCATTCTATCCAGAATGTCATTTTCTATTGAATAAAGTACAAAAATACCGAGGGTGCCATTTAAAAATCAAAAGTTGTAGTCATTTCCGGTGAAACAGGAAGTGACCGAAAAGAATTGAATACGTCAATCAATCCTAATTTATGTGATGTACTAACATATCAAATCCCGTTTTTTTATCTGATAAAATAAAAAAGTTATAGGGGTGAGCCACTTTTGAGATGCACCCGGTATGTTGATGAGTATGATTATTATAAAAGTGAACCACTTTTGAAACGCACCCGGTATAATAAAAGAAGGAACATACCAATTAAAGGATTTAAATTTTCATGTCTGAGTCCGTGCAATAACACCAACAATTCTATGGTCTTCGCCTTCATTTCACAACTTCCATTGGAAGGCACAGGTTTCATTTGAACTAAATCTCCCTGAAAGAAATAAAAATTCAGTTAAGAAGATTCAAATAAAAACAGTCTTGTTAATAATTTGGTAATTTACTAGAAAAATAAAAAAAAATATCGAAATATTTTTTTTTTGTTTCTCTTCTCTATTAAAAATATTTTAAATCACTAATCTTAGAAATCACGGTATCAGTTGTCACGATAGTCTGAATCCGCTATAGCCACTGAAGAGTATGAAAGCCGTGATCACGCCACTGTTTTAAATAGTGATGGGAAAAACCGATTAATTTCAATAATCGAGTACTCGAGTTTCAAGCGATTACAATAATCGAGTACTAAATCGAGTATTTAAAAATACGGTTTTTCGCCCGTCGCTTGTTGCTTGTTGCACTCGTAACGCCAAGCAGTAAGTTGCGTGCGCATAGACACATATTCTTTCGGTGATGAAAGGCAAGTAGCAAGCGACGAGCGATTCGCTTGATCGCTTGCTTGATTTAGTTTATTTCAAGGCATTGTCGATGTAGGTCGTAAAATTTTGTCACTCAAATATGCAACGGATAACGTCGTATAAATTTGCTACCTGCAATGTATGTAGAAAATTCGCTCGGCTTTTTATCGAGTATCTCACATTAAAATCGGATTTCAATTTATTTCATTCTAGGATCGCTTGCGTTCGTCGCTCGTAACTCGTCACTTGCATTCGAGCGATGTCGGTTCTTTCAATAATCGAGTACTCGAGCGAATTTTCGCTCGAGTTATCGCATCACTAGTTTTAAATCACTGATATTAAAAATTTATTAATTTTTAATTATTTTTTTAATTTATTTTTTTAATATTTTTTTATATAAAAAATGACTGATTTAAAAATTATTATTATTATTATTTTTATTGTTGTCGATCCAATAATATATAATGTGTTCTTTTTTTTATAAATTGGATTAGGATCGAAAGAAATCAACAGAAGTACTTTGTTTTAAATTTGTCGACGTTTCGCAAAATTTATTTGCATCTTCAGGACAATTTAAATCTGGACTTTCTTAGTCATATCCATTAATACACGGATGGTATAGAGGGGAGTGGTATATATCCCTTTTTTCCTTTTAAAACACATAACACACTTACACAAAAAAAACATATAACACAATTATGTATAGAGAAATATCACGAAAATCTTTTCCTTTCACAGACAAGCAGTGCAGATGTACCTACGTTGACCGTATACAGAGAGCAACTATTATTATTATTTATTTTCTTAAATTATTTTTAATCAGTTAAAAGTATTGATTTAAAAATCACAGTATCGCTCATCCCTAATATCAAGTACCTATCGAAACGTCCACAGTATCCAATTGGTGGAGAACAGGTAGATGTATGAGATGGCTAGGGGAAGTTAATCACCACGATCTTATGTATCTATTGTGTCCCCCTTCCTTGAGTACACTCTACTCTACTCATCATACAATCTGAAGGCTTTAACAAAAGCCACTGTCTGAAACGGTTTTAGAGAAATTAGTTCTCCATCTCTGATATCAGTCGTATACCAAGTATAAGGCACGAATGGTTGTCGTCTCGGCGTATATATAAGTGGTGAGGTGTTCTGGGGTTTTCACATTTTCCCCACACAATCTGCATTCACAGTTGTTCCTTAGCTTCAATCTACTGAAGTGTTCATTGAGGAGACAGTGTCCTGTTAAAAACACCGTGGATAATCCGAAGATTGTTCTTACTTAATTCAAGGAAAATCTTTGACTTTTCTCGATCTTATATTCTAAAAAATTTCTTCGAGTGTCTTAGGGGGACCGTTGGAGGATTCCTATTCCAGGTTATAAATGGAGTGTTCCAGGTGAGGTTTCCACTTGGAAAAACATGCATGGATAACTTGAGAAATTGTGTTCACACACATAAAAATCATTTTTGTATATTTTCGTTAATTTCTTTACTTTTCTATATTCTTTAAAATAATATCTACAGTATTGAAATTTTGAAAAAAAATGATTAACAATTTTAGAACAAGCAAACATTTTTATGAAGCATTTTTTTCAAAATGTCAATAATACAAAAGTTTTTCCCCTTGTAAAGACAATCCAGGGACATACTGTATATCTTTTCCCACTACTTCCTTTATGATTTTCCTTACTACACTGATTTCATCTGAACTAGATTTTCCCGGAAAATATGAAATTGAATCAAAAAAGGAACCGAACAAAAAACCCAATCGTATTAATAATATCTGGAAGTTTCCGCATCCGAGGCTTTTTAGGTAATTGTCCGAAAACTTCCAAACTCCATCCTGTGATCGAAATATTAGTGAAAGGAATAGGATACGATCCCTGACCTATTTGCTCTTTGGGTCTTTTTCGTGCTGCGAGTATTTTGTATCGATTGAAAAGGGCATTGTAGTGAGATTTTTTGTGCTTCGTTGTAGATTACAGGGTCGTTAGTTGCAAGTATTCTGTACACAGCGGCGGAGATATTTAATAGACTCAAATATAACATAAAATTAACATATTATACACTCACAGTCATGAAAAACGGGCCCCTTAAAATTTTGATGTATTTTAAAGTTTTATGTATTTTGGTCTAGTGGACCGATTTTGATTATTTTTTAATGAATTTGTAAGCACATCTTAAATTTTTCAACTGGAACAAGGGTGACTCGTTAGCGTATTTGGAAAATGTATTTTTTTCGAATAATTTAGTAACACACTCTTAGTATTTCGAGTCAAATTGTCGTTAGGAACCGCATGTTACAATTTCAAATAAACCATATACGAAAGTGTCAAAAGTTGACAAATTATTGACGTTTTGGTATTTCTTTATAAATTAAAAATGAAAGTTTCCATCTGTCAATTATACGAGGGATAAAATAATGTAGATATTTTGGTAAAAAGATAGAACACTCTGTAGAATATGTTATTATAGCAAAAAAATTGAAAACTATTTTATCATCTAAGTGCATCTTTTCTCAATAGCTCGCTTTTTGGTTCATCTCAATAACTCACTTTTTGGTTCATCTCAATAGCTTTATTTTTTGGGGGATATTCGCTTTTGAATTCGACACTAACTTTTTTTTCCTAATTTTTATATTAAAACCTTTTTTCGCTTCTGGTTCTATTCAACACCTATAAAATAGTATTTATGATTTATGTAATGTCACTGCCTTTAAAAAATCATATTATTATTGTCTGTGAAGCAGAGATGGTTTTAATCTAACAGTTGACATCTACTATGATCAATTAAAGCAACAATAGCCGATACAGTACGTCTGCTGGATCTGTGTCTATGAAAGGAATGCGGACAAAAAACATTTAAATAAACAGCAATATATTTTATATGTCGACTTGACGAGTACGTCACCGCAAATCGCTCGGCCCACTCATTTTATTGGCTACTTGCAAATTTGTCGAATTTTTATTGATGGGAGGCGTCGTCTAATTGTTTACGAAAAACATCGATAGAATATCGTTTCCCCTCTCACGGATATCCCGTAGCTACAGAACGGATAGACGTACTGTACTTACGAACTTAAAACAGTCTCTACTAGAGTAAACGACAATAAATAATAATAGTATGACCTTACGAAGACAGTGACATTACAAAAACAATAAACACTATTTTAAGTAGATAAGGACACAAAAGCAAAAGCATGCATGCTTTCAATGCGTAAATTGCTGTAAATCGTAACTGTCTTGTTCAAAAGCGAATATCACCAATAAAAATCAAGTTATTGAGATGAACGGTAAAACAAACTATCGAGAAAAGATGTATCTAGATGACAAAATAATTTTTATATTCCACAAGAGGTTTCAAACTTTCACCAAAATAACAACATTTTGTGTTCCCTCGTATAATTGACAGACGAAAACTTTCATTTTTTATTTAGATAGAGGCACTAAAAAGTCAAATAACTTAGCTACAAATTGCTTAAAAAATTATCAAAATCGGCCCACTAAAACAAAATACAGGGTGAGTTTCCTACAATGTTCTCTATGGGTATCTCGGAAACTACTGGAGATAGAGAGTCGGTTAAATGGGGAAAGAATTGCAGTTTTGTGGAGTCATAAATATGCGCCTTTCAGATTTTTGAAAAAGTTCATGGCTTACTAGATATTTCGAAAAAAACAAATTTCGGCTATTTTAAAAATTGTCCCTAATTCCATTATAATCTATTTTAGACAAAAAGTTTTCAGATAAAATTTGTAGATAATCACATCCTTAATGAGACTGTGTTCTCCGTTTTTTTTTTTCTAAAACCTATCATTTTTGACATATAACACAACCTTTTTTTTTTAAATGGAAACCATAGTTGGCCATGACTTCATAAAAAGCGCCATTTTTCAAGCTTTTCAGCGATATAAGCTATAATACGTTTTTTTCGAAAAATTACTGAGTTATAGCCAATTCTTATAATTTTTAAACAATTTCACTTAGTTAGCCATGGAAACAAGTTCAATCGCCGTTGCTCTCAGAAATGTGAAGCTGTCACATCCAAACTTTGTAAATTAAAATAAACAAAAATTGTAAATATGAATTTTTCAAGTTAAGAAGAGCATGTAGATACTCGTGCATCAATAGAGTGGTTCCAACATGACTTTCATTGTACCTCCCCCATAATGAAAGAAATGTTAAAAATCATTTATATCATAATAATGCAGGGATAGGAAGAGGTGGACCAATTGCATGGGAGTCCTCGATCACCTCACCTATCAATTTTAGATTTTTGTATGGGGTACGGTTAACAATAAGGTTTACAAAAAACTTATGAATTAAGAGAGACACTCGTTGTGGCGGTACGAGAGAAGTTTAATTAAGTCGACCAGTCCTTCTGTGAGACTAGGTATTAATTCACTTTTAAAAGATGCAACTCAAAACTAAGAATTGGCTATAAATAAATTTAGCTTTTCTAACATATGTCTTAAAAACTGTTTTCTAAAGAACGTAACTTTCACCGATCAACGAATCCTCGAAATGTGTGGCATTACAAAGTTTGGATGTGACAGCTTCACATTTCTGAGAGCAAAGATGATTGAACTTGTTTCCATGGCTAACTAAGTAAACATATTACAGCTTATATCGCTGAAAAGCTTGAAAAATGGCGCTTTTTATGGAGTTATGGCCAACTATGGTTTCCAAAAAACATATGTTTGTGTCATATCTCAAAAATGACAGGCTTTAGAAAAAAACGGAGGATATAATCTCATTAAGGATGTGATTATCTACAACTTTCATCTGAAAACTTTTTGTCTAAAATAGCTTATAATGGAATTAGGAACAATTTTTAAAATAGCCAAAATTTGTTTTTTTCGAAATATCTAGTAAGCCATAAACTTTTTCAAAAATCTGAAAGGCGCATATTTATGACCCCACAAAACTGCAATTCTTTCCCCATTTAACCAAGTCTCTATCTTCAGTAGTTTCCGAGATACCCATAGAGAACATCGTAGGAAACTCACCCTGTATATTACACTTTAAATATACAAAAATGTTAAGGTGCCGGTTTTTCGTGCCGGTGAGTGTATTTTTTGAAGATTTGATTCTTGGGATTATGGTCCATATACGTAACAAAAATAAGTCAAAAGCATTGAATCATTGTTAACGTTTCAATCCTATTTTTCTCAAAACATAATATCATTATAAACTTAGACGTTAAAAAAAAGATAACCATTCTCGATATATGTATATTTTACAGATATAGCAAAATCCTTTTACACTTTCCTCACAAATTGTAAATAATTTTCATTAAAATTCAAGCCATTATAACGTTACAGCACTGTACATACTGATTACGTTTTAAAATAGGTCAGGGATGGAATCACAAAGATTATAAGCTGGTCAATTTTATATGAATTTTGCATATTGAAAATGCTTAGAGACGGCTGTCATTTTATTATTCTCTCAATAAAAGTTGTTATTAGCTTCGCAGCGGTCTGGGTACTTTTTTATTAAACAACCTTTAAAAATCTAGGACAGCTCTTTAATGTATAAGTACAGTTTCACATGGAACGGACTGTCCGCACTGATTTCGAGGCACTGAATGGACCTTGTAAGTAACTATATACCTAAAAACTATGATTACACTCGTTGAATTTCGCACCTTGTAAGTTTAATAATATATTTTTGTACCTACTTTTATGCCTAGGCGCCAAAATCATTTTTTTATACTGTCAATCACGTCACAAAAATAAATACTTTTGTGACGATTGAATTTATTATATATTTTGAATTTTTCTAGCTTGATTTTCGTATTTTTGTAGCGATGTTTTCATGGGACTAATTTTAGATCATTTCCGATAATATTATCGATACCATAGCGTGAGAAATTTCCGGAAAAGAGCCTTTTTCTCGTATTAGAGCCGCACTTTTCCGCTTCCTTTGGCACGAAATTTCCCGGTGCTAATTTTAGACCCAGAGTTGGTCGACGTTCGGGCTCACTGGTGAAGAAATTGTAAATTAATTTGACTAAAGCGTGTTTCATAGGTAAAGGATATAATCTTTGCATAGCTGACCAAACATTTTTAAATATAAATAAACCCGAGATAAATTTAAAATAAAATTTATATTTGTGTTCAAGAAATTGTTTTATCAAAGAAAATCACAACAATGCTCTAAAAATCAGAGAAAAACTATTGGAATATGTAGCGGAATTCAATTACCTCGGCAGTTTGATTTCAGAAAAGGTCAATATCGACTTTGAAATTCAGCACAGGATTAGCAGCGCCTCAAAAGCATTCTTCAAATTAAAGGATAGGGTTTTCTATAATAATGACTTGAGTACAAAAACTAAACTTGCAGTGTACCCAGCAATAATAATTCTCCATGTTATACGGAAGCGAAACCTGGGTCCCGTACCGCCGGCACACCAGCGCATTAAACAAGTTGCAACAGAGACACCTTAGACAACTTTTATGAATCAAATGGTACCACCATGTCTCAAACGTATCAGTCCTTAAAAAAGCAAGCTGCAAGAGCGCTGAAGTCATGATTACTAAATCCCGCTTAAGATGGGCTGGTTATGTATTCAGGATGCAAGAAAACCGCATACCAAAATTTTAACGGTGAGCTTGCAGATGGTAAGAGAAAACCGGGTGGACAACTCAAAAGGTACAAGGATAGTTTCCACGAAGACTTAAAAGGGATAAACATACAGAATCAGTGGGAGAAAACAGCGCACAATAGAACGCAATAGAGAAGAATTATAAACTCAGTTAACACACGACAACCAAAAAATAAAGAGGCAACAAAGTAATGAGATTTTTGAATTTCCAGAATTAGGAAGAGAGATAACATCACGTATCGGGCTGTTCAGTCACAGAAAAGCTCATGAAAGAAAACGCCTTGTGTAACCATCTTCTGATGCGTATCACATACTCGTCAACGAGTAATGGCAGTAAGTAAGTAAGTTTTATTAAAAGACGATAAAATGTTTCAATACGAATATTTTTTAACTTCTCCATTTTATATACAGTATAAAATTTTATTAATGATATTTCGATAGAAATGCAATTTTATGCTTGTTCTAAAATGCTTAATCCCGTTTATACTTTTCCAAATTTTAATACCGTTTTAGAAAAAAATTAAAATAAACATAGATTCTTGGTCTGACATTCTATTATTTTATAAAAAATATAAGTACTTACGTTATATCTGACTCTCGGATCAACAATAATCTGTTTAGCCAAGTTCGGAGTTGAACTAGTCCTCATGGGAGTCCTAGCTGAAGCCCCACCGGAGTTTTGGAGCAAGTCCGGCTTGTCCACTTCCGGTCCTCCGAATTCTTGGAGTTGCTGAAGCCAGCAGCAAAGCATCGCCTCGATTCCTTCATCCACCTGATGAAAAAAATAAAAATTTAAATTCAAAGACATTTTTAATTACATATTAAACTATTAGGGTGGTACGAATTGTATTCGGAAAACTTTGGCAGCATATTTTACAGATAATAAATATACATTTCCGCGGTTTTTTCGTAAAAAATATCTCTTGGTAAAAATCGCTATGAGCAATAATTGTTCTTGAGATATTTAGAATCGAAATAATCAGTACGTGTACATCATTCACAAATTGAACACTTTAACAAGATAGTTATTAGCCTGAAATCATACATTTAAACTGTTTTTGTGTCAAAGGTTCTACAGGAATTGTTTCATTATAATTTCTCTTCGAAAAAATTATGATTACTATAAGAAATACCGTATAATCGAAAAAAAGTGTCCAGCTGGCTAGGAAATGACGATCAATGACATTCCCCATATAATTTTACATGTAAAATGACAGCTATCTTCATTTCATAGCCATTGCTAACGCCATTTTTTTTCTATTATAGGGTAGTAATTACTCTTTAAGCCAGTTAAAAATATGTAGGTGGCGCTCCCTACAAGTGGGAGTCAAATTTCTCATGTAAAAAACTCCCAAACAGCAATTTTTATCTAAGTATCGTTAGTTAATTTGGAACAAATCGAAATAAAGATATAACTTATACACCCTGTATCTCCGAAACGAAGCCATTTAGAGTATACATTTATACAAACTTTTTTACTTCTTTTTACTTGCAGATTATGCTGCCGAAGTTCACGAATAAAATTTGGACCACACTGTATAAGAAACATTTTCAAATTTACTTAAAATAATAATATAAAATGTTCAGCAGTGTGGAAAAAGCTGGCCAATTTTGTAATTCAGAAACAAATTATTTGTTTTGTTTATTGCTTAAATATTTACTCTGGAATATTTTGCTTTGCCAGGCTTTCTGCACCAATGCAGTACACTAATGCACTCATGTCATCTGGAAATTTATAGTCTGTTTAGATAAAGCTAGTAGAAATTTTAGAATGTATTATTTTACAAACTTTAATACATTAATGTTCGTTAAATCCAGTTGCAAAATCTCTGTATATTTGGCTAGTTATTGCCATACCGAACAGTTAAATTTAAAAATTCTTCATTATTATATTAATCGCAATAAGGCATTAAAAATAATTACTAAGTGTTAAAATAATGTATAAAAACATAAACCATGTTCCAACTTAGCCTCAGCAACAAAAACGAGATGTTAACTTAAAATACTTTACTTCTTCTTTCTCTTTTTCTATAAAGTTTATTTAAATGCCAAAAGAAGAAACATTTATCAGGACATAAAAAGACATAAAGAATCCCGGTTTAAAAGTACAGTTTAGTTAGTTTACAATGTTATATTTAAGATGAGTATCTCGACAAAGACTTGACGTACATTTCCATTTCAACGGGTTGTTTCGCACACTGACACACCGAGAAAGCTGGCGAAAGCTCATTCCTTCGGTCGGAACGGTAACAATGCTTAATAAAAATTCAGAGCGTACCATCTGTTACGTTCCGTTGTTTTTGCCAGACTTGGAGGATGTTTTTAATTTAATTTTCCAAACGAACCCAAGCAGAAAAGCAAGAAATTAGTAGTCTCCTAACCGAGATACCTATTTTGAGTTGCTTCTATTGATATGAAGATTGTAAAAGGTTTTCATAAATTAAGAATTTATTTTATTCACTACTTTATTCATTAAAACTTATGTATTAATATTTAATGTTTATATCTATTTCTGTATCAGTAATTAATATTAGTAGTAAAAAGTCTAATACTGAAAATAACTGCGAAACGGTGAAAAATATAGAAATACTTTATATACTATATACAAGTACAAAGTACTTTAAATTTTGAGGGGAAATCTTATATATAACAAAATATGTTTAAGATATTCACCATTATAAACCACAAAACATATTTATGTACAAAACTTTTTTTCATAGCTTTGTCAACAACGACGCTGTTAGACTTCGCACTAATGGACGACCTTGTATGGTTAGTCTATCTGTTATACATGTCTATGGTTTAAACATATTTTTTCTGTGTAAAACACATTTAAAGTTTGTCCAACAAATGCGAGAAGATTTCGACAGACGTCGTTAAAAAAAAGATACAAAATACAATTTAACCTGTGACTACAAACAAACAAACTCATCTCGTCAATATAATCCACAGTGCTTTATCCCATTTTTTTCCAAAAAGGGTTTTTGGTCATAACTAACAGGCACAAAAAAGAATTATACATATGAATGGCTCGAATCGTGAGTTATAGTCCAAAGCAAATATGTCATTGCTATCGTCAATTATGATCGGAAATGCGTACAAAAATTATGATTTGTGCATTTTGTTCGAATTTTTCAGCTCTTTTTGTGATTATTCCGATTACTATTAAAAATAGTCAAATTATAATGTTATATTTTATTATATTTTTGGAATAAATTTCAGCTAAAAATAATAAAGTTGGATTTTTCCACCATTTATAGCTCAAAACTGGTTGAAGCAAAAATTCACTACAAATACTGAAAATTTCAACCATTTAGGGCTATGTTTACTATTTTTCTTAAAATTATCTTTAAATATGTGTAAAAGTACATAGCTAAAATGAGCGTTTTTTCGACTTTTTATGAAAATTGGAATTTTCATCGTCTACCGATTTTGTTAAAATTGCAGTTATTTACAAATTAAAATGGACAGAATAAGAAAATATAGATCATTATTGTCTGATGAGAACAAAAGGTAGAATAAGTTTCACCATTATTAAAAATAGCTGAAAAACAGAGGTTCAAAAAATATTATTTTTTCACAAAACCATTATTTTCAAGCCTCCAAAGTTGTATATATTCTAAATGAACATAAATTTTCCTACGTGCTAAATTTTTCATAATTTTAAGACTATGTTTACTATGCTTCTAAGACCATGCAAAATGTGTAAAAAATAGCCAAAAACGGGCGTTTTTGAGACTTTTTTCCATACATATAGTCACGAAAATTGGCAATTTTCGTCATATCGCCGATTTTATTTACTAACAAATAAAAATATAGGCCATTTTGTTCTTATATGAATAGGTACGGATGTAAAGTAGGTTTTAACCATCATTAAAAATTTAATCCTCATATTAATTTAATCCTAAAATTAAAAAAAAAGGTTTAAAAAATTAAGTTTCTATTGTTCTATATTTTCGATTGACAAAAAAAACTTCCACTTCACTGTATTAGACGCTATACTTAGATCGAACCTAGTTTTTCATAATTTATAATATTCGGATTTTCACTTTATATACAGGGTGTTTCAAAAAACATGTGCCATCTCTCGTGGGGAGATCCTCACGTAAAAATAAGATTTATTTTTCATATCAACATAGATCCGATTCTGCTTTGTTTCATAGCTACAGGGTGTTAAAATCTTAATTATCTTTCAATTTACTATGATTTTCTTCTAAGTACTTTTAGTGATTCGAATGAAATTTTGAGACTAAAAGTTACTATAAGTGCTACATGTTTTAATGCTAAGAAAGTTTTGATAAATTCATCATTGACGTGCATATGGATTAACACTGGAATATTTTTCAAAAAAAACATGTACTCCACTGACTTTTTTTATATCAAAATTTTGTAGACCGTTTAATGTCAATTAAAAGTTATTTCTTGGTATTTTCTCGAATTCGGCTTCCTTGATGAGATAAACGTAATTTTATTAATCACAATTAATAAAATTAAAATTAAAATAAAATTAATAAATTAAATAATTTACCTCTAATTCATTATTAAATATTATTACTATTAGTTACTATTACTATTAGTCCAACCTACAGCAATTTCAAATAAAAAAATAATGGTATTTAAGATAGTTACAAAAAAACTAATTTTAAAAATATTTAACATCCTGTAACTCTAGAACTATGTCTTTCCATACCCATGTTTATAGGAACTTTTTTTCTTATTTTTTTATGAGGAATCAATGAGTACTTATTGAAAACTTTCTTTTAAAAGGTTTAATTATATTAATTATTTTTAAAGGTTGCTATTAGACTTGGATCACACCAAATTAATAAAATTGCGTTTATCTCATCAAGAAAGCCAAAATCAACAAAATATCAAAAAAACAACTTTTAATCGGCATTAAACTGCTTACACTATTTCGCTAAAAAGAGAAAAATGTCAGTGACGTTCATGCTTTTTTTGAAAAAAATATTCCAATGATTACCCATATGCACGTCCCTGATGGATATATCAACACTTTTTTAGCTTTAAAATATCTCGCATTTATAATAACTTTTGCCCACAAAATTTAATTCGAAACGCTAAAGGTACTTGGGAGAAAACTATAATATATCGAAAAAATATTAAAAATTTAACACCCTGTAGCTACGAAACAAAGCAGAATCGGACCTATATTGATATGAAAAATAAATCTTATTTTTACGAAAGGCATCTCTCCACGAGAGATGGGACATGTTTTTTGAAACACCCTGTATAATTGAGAATAGTTTCAAGAGCGATCAATTCGTTATGAAGTATTGCTTGAACAAATATATAAATTAGTTAAAAGAGAAAAAAAAATATAAGACAATTAAATAATATCTTAATCGTAGATGTTTAGTTAATTATTAGATTTAAAGAAAAACACTCCAAAATTAACTTGCCATGTCAGAAAACATTACACAACGGCATTTTACGTTTTCAGCTTCCTGTAATTTTATATTTAACAAGTGTTTACGTTCAGCCACCAGTCCAGACGCGGTAGGTTGACATCTTGAGTAAATATTTTCTTTCTTGTGTTTCTCGTCGTTCTAGCTTTAATTTTTAACATTTTAAAATGATAGAATTTCCATTACCTTTATCATGTTTCTCTAAGCAAACTTTAGTCTGTGGTCACAATATATTCATTTTTTAGCATTAAAATTAATTGTTAAGAGAATAATTCTATTAGAGAAGAATAATGCTTCTTATAGAGATCTATCTCTAGGTCTGATTTTTGACTGGTTATGAAAAAAG